GGGGCGGGGCTAGTGGCACATAGATATGGGCGGGGCTAGTGGCACATAGATGGGGGCGGGGCTAGTGGCACATAGATGGGGGCGGGGCTAGTGGCACTAGATGGGGGCGGGCTACGGGGGTACTGGCCCCAGGTGGCCTCTTGAGTGCTATGATAAGTTTGGTCCCTCTCTATGAATTATGCCCCCCACCTTAAGAAAATCACCCCCGGTCATTACCAGTCGTTACCATTACCAGTACCATAACGTTACCATTACCAGTACGTCATTTGGTCTGCTCTCATCTCCCCACCCCATTCTAACACTTTCCATCACCTGGCACCTATTTGGGCTTCTTGTCTTTTTCACTCGTTGGTGCTTCATTCTCCCGCGTGCTGTGGTTCTCCTCTCCGCTCCCCCTGTCAGGGCACCGACTCAAGCAGCTTTGTTTATGTGAATCTGCAAGTTACTCATTAGTCCTTACTGAGTGTGCTCAGATGTGTCAGCCAATCCAGATGGCCGCCCCGCTTGACAAAGGGCTGTTGTGTTCTCTGCTGCCTTCCAGAACTCCGCCGGGCGCCATGACGACGGCCAGGTTCCGACCCACCTGGGACCTGGCTCTGGACCCGCTGGTCTCCTGCAAGTTGTGCCTTGGGGAGTTTCCCCTGGAGCAGATGACCACCATCACGCAGTGCCAATGTGTCTTTTGCACGCTGGTAAGGGAGTCCATGTGTGACCCAGGTCGTCTTCAGTTCTAGCGCCCCCTTCTGTTTCCATTCCAAACGACTGCAAGAGGACAGACGGAAGTGTTTCTACTGGAAATAAGCATCCATACCCGTGATGTGAACCCATAACGTAATGGCATGTGAGGGACCTTGATACCATTCTTCTTAGATGTTTGAGGGAGGGATATAATCTGCACTCTGATAACCGTGAGCATGTCAGTCATGATTTTAAAATACCAGCATATAAATTAAAAGCAATTTGGGAGCCATATGAATGAAAGACCATTTAGTCGTAAGGTTTTGTTGTCTGCCCATGTGGCTAAGAAATGATCATTTGGTTCGAGCCACATCCCGATACAATCCATCAGCACTAAAGTTACTTAGCAGATGTATGTGTTAATAGTGATGTGCAGTAGAGAAAGCTGGGTCACCCAGTCCCTGGAGGGATGGGGGGCTAACGATCTTGCCCAAGAGTCCAACAGCCCCCGGGGTACCCCCTGCCCTGTCACTCACCGATTCGAAACGACGATAAGGCCGCAGCCTCGCTTGTCTGATTACATGCAGGACAGGATCTTTCCGAAACATACTGTTCCCGACCTATAATGAGCAGAACATTACCCCTAATGAGTGCTGCTGTTCCCGTCGAGTTTCTGCCGGAAAATCCTTTAATTGCCGCCATTAAGAAAATGCACCCTGTTTGTTCGCGGCTGCATTATTTAATCCGGTAACGGGGAAGGAATGTGTTGTTCTGGTGATGGATGGAAAGAAACGGATGCATTAAGTACAGCCTGTTTGACCTGTCAGATATCACAGAATCGTGTGCAATAAAACTCAGTCCCCTGCTTATGTAATTGAGGTCAGGATGGAAGGAGCCCGTCTGAATTGTAAAGCACCACTGTTTAAAAATCACTCGCCTCTGATTTTCAGGAAACATCAGCATCATTTTCACCGCTAGTTTTTGGCTAAGCGCTCGTCCCACTGGAGTCTCAATTACTACCATTAAATGCACCTTTTATAGTAAATAATAATTGCTGATGGTACAATTATTGTTTCAGATTTCTGATTGTGCTTTTCAAAAGGTGAACTTGCTGCCTAATTGTAGTAATTTAAAATAATAAATTTGGCACTTAGAAAAATCTTTTGAGGTATGACTAAAAACTCTCTTGCCGAGTTCCCTTTTCCAGTAGGAGTGAGTAAAATGTGTTGCTACTTTCTCTCTTGTCCCCTTTTTCTCTAATGTTCAGTGCCTGAAGCAGTACGTCGAGCTCCTGATCAAAGAGGGCCTTGAAACAGCTATTAGCTGTCCAGACTCTGCCTGTCCGAAACAGGGACACCTCCAGGAAAATGAGGTACACCCCTCCTGAACATTTTAGATTTGGTAGTTTGCTTGGTGCTGGGTGCTTTTTAACGTGATATTTTTTGGACCAGCAAAAATCCATCAGAGGAAGTATGTAGAGGAAGACCTTTGTCGTGAGGCAATTTCCAGAAGAGGTTAAAAAAAAAAAAAAGTTATTCGAGCTAGACATGGGCAAGACTTCCCTAAACAAAACCAATAAAACAATGTCAGTTATCTGTTTTTTCTGCTGATTTGCCGCTCATTACTGCTGAGTCTGCCGGGCTCCTTTAAGACTTCCTCTTTCACATGAAAACCCACCTGCTTTCTGTATCAGCTAGCAGTCAGCACAGGAAGTGGGCCGTGCTATTTCGGGATTTGAGGTTCCCATACATCCAGCCTCGGTTCAGGAACTGTCAGGGGTTTTTGCTGTGGAAACGACATGAGGGGAGGCGTGACCTGTGTGCCTGGGAATATTCTGGGACATTCGGAAAGGGCGTAAATTCTGCTGGAGGATTTTCATTTTTGAACTGGGGTAGTGGTGGGTTATAATCGTTTGATTCTGCCGGGTTTCGTTTGTCCAACTTTAATTATGTCGACAATCGTACTCGTATTACGTGTATTCTGGGAACAGTTAACGATGATTTTAAAATGCGATGAACGGCTGATCTACGGAATTAGGTCAGTTAGGTGAAGCCGGCTAGAGAGTTACACCGCGGTGGACACTTGGCACATGCTCTGGGCTGCATGAGACAGATGGTATGTGGACGCACTTTCCGGTGGGTGTCGTGCATTCCCAGCATGCACCGGGCCTCACCGCTCAACCTTGCTTAGTCAGTCTCCTGACCAATCAAGGCCTCAGGATAGTGATGGCTCTTGTAATCAGCCAGGTTGCCCTCCCCCCCACACCCTCAAAGGGACCTGCTTAAACCAAGTGCTTGTGCTAAGACCACATTAGCGATCGCCGCGGCCGCATCCAATTTGAGGCCCCCATCCCTGTCTCACGCTTCCTCCCCCAGATCGAGGGCATGGTGCCGGAGGAGGTGATGCAGAGATACAGAAAGCTGCAGTTCGAAAGGGGTAAGTGGGCAGTGGCACCGTGACAACCTCGTCGTGACAACTGCGTCGTCGCCGTGGAAGCGGAACTGGCTCCCGGGTTGTCGTCATGACAGCCACTGGTGCAGCCCTCTGGATGTTTATGAGCGTAGTCAGGCATGTGTGTCTGGCTCTGAATATTTCACAGTATTTTGAGCCCTCTGCATCTCAGTCCTGGACCTTCTTTACATAAATCTGTAAATGTTCTGTTTCCTATACAGCATTTTTAGTAACTTACCTTATCCTCCTGAGATCCAGTAATTCATTTTTGTCCTCTGTAGAGGACATTATGTTTTTGCTCATATCTTCCATACTATACAAGCCACCCAGCTAAGCCTTTTAGTGTTTCTTAAAAAGGACAATAAGGGCTTTAAGATGACATCACATGTACGGGGGTATGCTTTTACCATGCCAGTATTTAAATTATGTGTAAAAAAAAAAAATCAAAATTAGGAGACTTTTCCCCTTGAGCTTATTGAAAAGAACAGATTTATGCAGGTAGTTAGTCGTATGGATAACTTGTGTATCTCCTAAAGACTCACTGTACACTGCACTGTGTCCAGACTCACTGTACACTGCACTGTGTCCAGATACTGCTCCAAACTGGACATTTTAAACGGATATGTGAAACTGCGTTTAAATATAGCTGCTCTGGCCGTGAGTCAGAAGCCTCGCGCTCATGTGAAAGTGTGGCTCTTAAATCACGTTGAGTAAAGGGTAACGAAAAGCAGCCTCCTGGAACAGCTTGTTCTGGGGCCCCGCTGTGTGTTTCCCGCACGGATTTTCTGCGGAGTGTGCAGTTTTTAGGTGCGTCGCGCTGTTCCCTGTGTCGCATGTGCTGTGGGGAGTCCCTGTCGAAAGCTCCAGGAGTGTTACCCCCCCAGGTAAGTAAATGCAGAGGGGGACACCTGAGAGATGGTGTTTACCTCTGCTTTGGGGGGAGCTGGGGAGGGGGGGTTGACTGGCACGTTGGGGGATGGGCATCCTGGAGGTTGGGGGGGTGGGCATGGCCTCTGTACATGTGGACCGGGTCTGAAGTGAGCGGCATTTGGGTTGGCATGGGGAAACCCAGCGATTAGTGACTCACTCTTACCCTGTAGTGATTCTTTTGTTCACCATCATGGCGTGCACGCCAAACTCGGGGGCCTGTGACTTCATTTAAGCGGTCCGTGTGAGTAACATCCATGGCAGGGGAAGAACACAGCTGGTTGTGTTTTGTCGGGACCCCTGCACCCATGCCAGGGTGCGATCCTGCACACGGCCGCATTGTGCGGGCAGACAGTGGGATCAGTGTTAGGGGGGGGGGGTGCAAGCCGGCTTGGCCTCACCCATCCCGGAGACCACAGAGCCAGCCATTGTGGAGAGCGCCCCTTACAGGACGTATGCTGAAGTGCAGGGGGTCAGTAACGCCGCTTCATCTCACCCACTCAGAGGTGCTGCTGGACCCGTGCCGAACATGGTGCCCGTCTTCGTCCTGCCAGGCTGTGTGCCAGCTGAGGGAGACAGAGGCCCGGCGCCCCCAAGTGGTCCACTGCACTGCCTGCGGCCTGCAGTTCTGCTCCACCTGCAAGGCCACCTGGCACCCAGGACAGGCCTGCCAGGACAGCCCACCTATATCCGCCTTCCTCCCCGGAGAGACCAGGTAGGCTCCACCCCCTCTTCATCCTCCACATGCCAGCCACCATCATCCTCACTGATCAGTTCACCCTTAATCACTGAGGGAATAAGAGAGAACGATTCAGGAAATTATTGCGCATGATGTTTATATTTCTGGCTAAGGACATATTCTGAAGGATTCTGGTTCAAATCCCAGAGGAGACCCTGCCTTAGTGACGTATATTTACGGATATTTTGTGCAGATTCTCAGACAGAGAAGGTTAGGATTTATTCAGTACAAATTACTTTTCAGGAAGATTAATATTATGAGCTGGAATCCTGCCAACTGGTATCTGGCCTTGGGGGGGGGGGGACGCCGTATGTCTGTGTCACCAAGGTCACCGCGGGAAAGATGTCAAGCACCTTGTGCTTTGGATGGCCTACGGGAAAGCTCGGCATTGTGGGAGTATAAAGTCAGGGGTGGGGTCTTTCACTGAATTACCATCTTAGAACGGTTTGGCTTTAGTGTCCTGGTCCATAAAGCCCTGAATAACATGCGACCTCCGGACCCATACTGGCTATGGTCCCCATTATGGGCGCCTAAGGGCACCGTGCTGTTCCCATAGATACGCGACATGCGGTCACATGAGCCAAGCAAGTAGAGTGGCCCTCAGACTGTGGAGTCAGCTATTGTGGGCGCTTTGTGAAAGGTGTGGTTAGACTGGTAGCCCTCCTGCTTCCCGTACGGGCAGCCCAGTTACGCCGATGGCAGTGCCCTTTGGTGTAGCCGGATTGGCCTCATTAAAAACTAAACAGAAACTGAAAAAAGAGAGAGAACTTCCTTCTCAAATAAGGAAGCGTGTCGCACTGAAGACAAGGGGGCTACGCAAACATTTACGGGTCGTTCCACTTTTAACAAATTCCCAAAAACATTTTTGCATCACTGATTTTGATTTTGGTGAAATTTGGTGTGTGAATTACACATACCTTCCAGAGCTGAGAAATGTTTGTTTAATTAATTATTTATATCTCTTTGAGATATAGTGCCTTTTCTATACCGCAAGTAGCAAAAAGAATGATAATTCTACTACATGGCTCAGCTATAGCACTGGAAAGCTCAGAGAGTCTGGTTAAATTGAACTTAACTAAGTTTCTTATATCAAGGACTTTCATCTCACAAACTGCATTTTACTAGTTTTGGTTATTAAAACATAATGAAGGGATTGGAGTCTGAATCTCCCCTTTTCCAGTAGACAAATTTTTGAGGGGGGAAAACCATTTCTAAACTCTGTAAGGTTTGTGTAATTCACATCACAAATGTCTGATACATGACCCTTGTTGGTGTGTAATTCACATCACAAATGTCTGATACATGACCCTTGTTGGTGTGTAA